TATTCAAATGTGGAAGCATTTTCATGAATTTTCTCTTTAATGTGGTTCGACTAAGATCATTCGGATTGTAAATAGTTTCAAAGTACTTTTGGAACGTCTGGAACTCTTTAATGTGACTCTTCGTTCCTTTCTTGATTTGATCATGTAGAGAGGCAAAATCTTTTGTCATTTTCTAAGCAAAGATGGTTGCATCGAGCTTATTGTTGGAGTAGTATTTCCTCCACTAATTATCGAAGGCTTTGGTGCAATAAAAGGAGGGCTAGAAAGGGATGAGTGTGAATTCATCAAATGTGCAGTAGCGTTGTAAATGTTCTTCTCGTTCAGGAAGAGTGAAATGCATTCCTTTAAAGCAAATAATGCTTTTTCTTGCAAAAAGAGGTTCAGGGATTAACTGGCAAAGCCCAAATTATCAAGAGACAAAATTGAGTTGATAGGCGAGTAAGACAATGTGGATATTAATATGAACGAGTCTCTTAGTGATTAACCTGGGAAGTAAGAAATCTTGCCAGATAGCTAAGGTTTCTGCCTTTTGAAGTGGTGAAATATCAGAAAGAGACCTTGTAAACCATTTAGGGCCATGGGTTCTCTGAGCAAAGGGAGCCATCGAAGGAGTAAAGTTATTACATTTAGAAAACATCATAACATAATTTGTAAAACACCCATCTAAGTCCTTTCCATCATCATTTGGTTAGTCAAACCAATCTCGTTCCTTCAATAGTTCGGTTCTAGAGTTCTAGGTCAGTTTCATCTATTTTCTGAAGGTGGAGAGTGAAGGTTCGAATGTGGCATTAAGACACAATTGAAAAAGTCAATATGGTTCAACCAGAAGTAAATTGGAACCTACTTTGTAAGCTTTCCGATTTCTGGTAGCTTCCCTAAGACACCCATACAATCCAACTAATATTAATTCACTAAGGCATATGTTTCGACCAGAGTGAAGTTGATTGGCTAGGGTTAAGAATCTCTTAGCTACTTGCAAAGATTTTCTACAGAAAATACATCGAGATATCCATAATTCAAGGAAATATATGTGTTCCACGTCTGATACTTCATTGCCTTCGGCATAATAATGATCGATATATTTGGTAAAGCCAACATGGTCAACTTTGAAACCAATGGTGTTGTTCGTTTGCTTGGTAGGATCGAAAGTTTCGCTGGTAGGTTAAAGTCTAGCGATGGAAGCAACGTCGAATAAGGTAGGAGTAATCATTCAATAGGGAAGATGAAAAGTATTATAAGTAGTGTCCCAGAAATTCAAAGATGTCATCTGCGTGTGTTGGCAATAGCTTGTCCTAACTTTTGACAGTTGGATTAAGTAAAAAATGCCCATGTCTTTGACTTGGGATTTCTTTTGTTCGACTTTAGATAGCCAATTAAGATATTGCTTGCTATATTTTGCTGGGCACGATCTAAAAGGCCTAAAAGATTCTGACATATAATCTAAATGGAAAGGTTTTTCTACCTTTATAATTTTTAAAGAAGGTTTCTCCTGAATATTCTCTACAGTTGAGTCTTTAGGATTTTGATAAACCTTTTCATCTGCTTTTTTGGGGGAACTAGGCTTACTAGCTATGGGTTTGGTGAAATGATAAGTTGGAAAGAACCCTTTAGTTTTCTCTAAGTCATCAATGTTAACTAAAGGACTCATATATCCTAAAGTTCTATCAGCGAGAGTAAAAGTGATGATTACATGGGATTCATAGATAGCGCGTTATTCTGTAGAAAGTGTGGGTGTTGGCATAAATTCCCGATTCTCAGTCAAAGTGGGTTTTGATATGTGACCAATAGAAATCGTAGCAGCATCCTTGGTGTTCTTCAAGTCTTTAATAGATTTGTTGCTTTTCTTGGAAGTTGCCATTGTTACAGAAAGTTTGGAAGTTGATTGATTGTGTGAAGAAGTCGATGGAAGGTAAACATAAGTTTTTGAAAGTTTAAATAGAAAAGGTGTTGATGTGAAGAAGAATAAGTATTTATAATATAAACTGTCAAACGGTTCAGTTTTTCTTTTTAAAATGAAAAGAGATATTGAGACACGTGTTGTTGGCTGATAAGTTGACAAGATGGTTACTTTTTGGGAAAGTCACGATTTGTACCTATTTTAGTGTTGTAGTAATGGTGGAAATTGAATTATGCACGTCTCGATGGAACGTTTGGAAAGATGGTCATTATGACCATGACGTCACAACAGTAAATAGTTATCTTAAAGCAACTTTTGCGTCGAAATTGAAGGTTTTACAAAAAATGTCTCTTTCTCCAAGTATTTCGAAATACACATTTTTGGGGGGCAACTTGTTAGCTGGGAATTTCGATGGCTTATATAGAAGAGAAATAAAGGATATCAAAGAAAGACTAATTTTAAAGGAAATATGAGAGATATTATCTTTGACCGATTGACCAATTGATGGTCAAATATTATTAGATGTCAACAAAGTTTTATTGTTGCGAAATGCATAAGACTCAAGATATTTTAAGCTTCGAATTTAAATAATTCGACAAGTCACGTTGTGGATTTTTTGGCACTTCAAATCAAAGACGATTTTGAATTCAAATGATTTGATCTTATCTAGAAGGACGCGTGGAAGTCTGAAAATTTAAAATGGGCATGCAAGATTCGAACGTGGCACTCTTGTAGAGAAAGGCCGTTAGGGTTGAATTAGTATAAATAGGGATCTTTGTATTAGGATTCAGTGTGTTCACTTTATACAAATTACTCATATAAATTCAAAGTACCAATGTTAGAGAAAAGATTCATTGAGAATGTATGTATAAAAACACCATTTTTATATTCAAAGTCTTTTACATTAAATCAAATCTTTTACCTTTGTTTAACATTTTAGTCAAATTACTTTACATTTCAATTTTTTTACTTCAAAAAACCCATTACCTTTGTATTCAAACTTTTGCTTTTACTTTTACCTTTATTGTATTTATCTTTTCAACATAGAACAATAATTAGAAATATTAAAACATACACGATATTCGACACATGTCTTAGGATCAATCTAGTTGATCCTATGAGTAACTATAAATTATTTTTATTTTGGAGGACTAGCGATTGTTTATCAAATTTCACGGTAGACATGGTGATAAAAGACATATCCCAATCACAGAGGCTATCTATAAACAAGTCACAGTCACCGAAACTTGAAATTAAAACAGGAAGGACACACTTCCAAATTACAAATACTTAGTCTATAAAACACACGAAGAACCTAAGGAACTACCAACCCTAAACCCTTATTTATTACACAAGGTTTTATAATAAAAACTCTGCTTAAAAACTAGGTCTTGGATGACTCCTTATATAACCTTCTATAGTTGGGTTTGGACTCTTCAATCAAATCCAATCAGCAGCTCCTAAAAACCTGCAAAATATTTCTCCAAAAAAATAGAAACAATCTTCATAAATTTTTTTCTAAAAAGTCTCAGTCGATCATTTTTAGTAACCAATCAAATTTGCACTTGTTTCTGATAAAATTCTTGATTGGCATGCACTTATAATGAGTACATAATGTTTCAGATACTCATATCTTCAAATTAAATCTTCAAGGATAAAATATCCAGCACACTGTCAAAATGTTTTGTTGTAACATGTTACAACATCTGCTGGAACATCTGTCAAATAAGGCACATGTAGAACCTGCTTGTACTTGCTAGTCCAGATGTTATGACATCATCTTTAACATCTAGTAGTAAAACTCATATCAGTTGAAACTGCTATGATAGTTGATAAAGATGTTGCACCATCTTACCAACATCAACATAGAACCATGTTTAGAATTATACTTAATCAAAATTAAGCCAACAATAAAAATACGGAACTAACAAAATAAATATGCTTCCCTTCAACACTGATTGGTTGCATTACAATCTAGGAACAAATACCACTCATTCTACGTATCATGCTCACACAAGTGACAACCTAACGAATACATAGTAAAATGTTGTCTAAATCTCCCACGAGTAGATAGATAGTCCCTACAAATTCTCCATAAATGATATATTCTAGGCTACAACAATCTTCTTCCAATATATTAATGAATCTTGCTTACATGTATCCTAATGATAGTTATAATTATGTATCATGCTATGCTAACATGTATTTAAACACATGTTGAGAATTTTAAAAATTGAAATCTTATAGTTGAAAATGTTCTTGCTATGACGGATTAAATTTTATAGATAGGTAGAGTAGATTGTGGTGATCTTGTTAGGAAACTTATTTTTATATTTATTAAATAATTAATATAATTAACTTATCATATGAATATTAATTATTGTTGCAAAAAAAATACTAATTTCCTTAAGAGTTTAAAAATAGTGTAATTTAAAACAATTTTACACATAATTAATTAAAAAATTTATATTTATCATGTCATTTTAATATTTTAAAAATAAAATTAAGATTTATTATGATACATATTTCTCATCCGTTGGTATCAATGCATTTCTTTTTATCCTTTACATTAATTATTTATGAATTTTAAAAATAAATTTTCTCATAATTATTTAATTTGTAACAACTCTTCTTCCATATGAAGGCTAATTTATTTCACTCAAATTCTTCAATGCTAAATATTAAAATATTTTTGAAATGTTTTCATAAATTATGAAATTAGAGGCAAAACATTGAAGATGCACTAATAGCAACAACATTGGTGAACAACACTATGTGGCGTTCTTAACTTTTTTTATGAGACATATCATACCATATTATGCTAGTATATTCTTATATACAAAACATTTTTATAACACTTCTGATGTGACTTAAATTAATTTTGTAAATAAATGATTCCCTTTATTCAGCAGCAATTATTTGCTTTTATCTGAATTTAGAATTTCCTTAAACACAGGAATCATAAATCATTTTCTTAAGTCCAAAATAAATACTAGTAAATAGAATCATGAAAGAATACACAACTACTCAGAAAAATATTAACATAACTAACACTATCCATTTCACAGTACCCGACCCGGTTAAACAAACCGGGTCAGACCCATTAACAACTATCCATTTCTTTACACAAAAACGGATGGGTCAATAATTGAGCTGCCGTCCACCGCTCACCGGATTCCTTTTTAAGGCAACACTCAACAAAGCCTCGAAACTCCGATGAAGCGGTATCGGGTAGACTCGGTGGATCGGAGAAACAAATCGCACACATCAACATAGCCCAATCGGGTCGTTGACCCGATTGAAGAAAAGGAAAATGACCCACATAAAGTTCAAATAGGGTTAAACCCAAACTCCATATATCAGCTGAAAAACCATTATAGTTCCCGCCATAAACTTCCGGGTCAAACCGTTCCGGACTCATATAAGCACACGTGCCAACGTAAGAGTTGCATGCTTCAAGCGTGCGACCCATCAATTTACTAACACCAAAATCTGCTATCTTAACCTCGTTTTTGTTGTTAACGAGGATGTTCGAAGGTTTAATGTCACGGTGTGCTATGTTACGCGCGTGGAGATACGATAAGCCGTTGAGAACTTCACGCGCTACTTCGGAGAGTTTTGATTCGGAGAATGTTCCGTTTGTTTTGAGAGCGGTTTCGAGGCTGCCTGAGTCCATAAGCTCCATCAGAATCGCGATGTCGCCGGTGGGTTTCTCGAAGGAACCGTGGAATTTAACGATGTTAGGACAATCTGTGGCGCGGCGGAGGATGTTGATTTCAGCTAGTGTACGGCGGCGCGTGGTGGGGTCGGAGTCGTTGTGGTTGACTTTTAGAGCGTAGATAGTGGAGGTGACTTTGTGGCGGACTTTGTAGACGGTGCCTCCGTTGCCGTGACCGAGGACGGCGAGTTTCTCGAAGTCAGCGGGAGCAAGGGTGTCACAGGCGGCGGAGGATGATTGTTTGTAGATGTTAGAAGGAAGGGGGACAGGGAAACGAGGACGGTGGTCGGAGATTTCTGGGAGACGGAGGTTGGGATGGCGGCGGCGGTGGACGAGCGCCATATGTGATGGTTGATGGTGGTTGTGGTGAAGAGAGAAAAGAAAAAGGTGAGTTAGTGACTAAGTTGAGGAGATTTGTGAGGGGTTTATATTACGTGAGTGGATTAGAGAGTGTGATGGCTAGGAAAGAGGGTGGATATGGGAGTGGGGTCCATATTTGATGTTGATAAATTTTAATTGAGAATTGTATTTTCTTTTAAGAAAAGATTTCCATGTTTGTACCTTTCCTCATTGAGCATGTGGTTAATTGTAGCCAACCTTTTTTCTTACACTTCCAACTTCTACTTGTTTTGTATGAATGTACTTGTATTTTAAAATTCAAAAATGTAATTTGAAATTTGGAAACAATTACAAGACTTTAAAGAACATTTAATAGTAATATTTTGTATTTGCCAAAGTACATGTAATTTTACTAATAGTGAAATCAACGAAGTCTCTTTGGATAAGCAAAAGTACATTTAATAATATATTTGAGTTTTTTTAATAAAAAGGGTCAAAGCTCGGAAAAAAGAAAAATAAATTACAAATACATTATTTTAGGGGAGTTACATTTCTAACATCATCATCTAATAATCTAATAATAATATTCTGCGTCGAGTCGAAAACAATCAACTTTGAATCAAAAATATAACCTACATTATCTAAAGCATATGCACACTTATTTGACTCTCTGTAAGCATGTTCTACTTTCACAATCTCATGTTCTTCGATTAAACTCTGAAACCTTTTAATCAATCCCAAACATTCACCCTTTCGAGCGCACCCTTTCTCTATCACATGTAATATGTCCACGGAGTCCATATTAATCTCCACATACGCATCCCTAACACCTTTGTGAGATTAAGACCTTCAAGAAATTCCCATAATTCTACTAAGAAAACACTACAGTAACCTAAAGATTTCGCAAACCCTATAATCCATGCTTCTTTGTTATCTCAGATCACTCCCCCACAACCATGTGCGATTCTTCCTTGTGTGCATCATCTATATTCAGTTTCACAACGTCTTGAGTTGGAGGTTTCCAACATATCATCCTAGTTATTGTGCTTCTTATCATGAGAGCATTATTCAATCTTTTTGAGTCCTCATCATCCTTTCTCCTATGTGAGATAACTGGCCCCAGATCATATGTCCTTAAGTGTAACACCCTATTTCCCCCATCGGTAATTTAACAAAAATTAGAGTAAATTAATTATTAAATCAAACACCAAGAATAGGATGCCACATCTTTCAACATATCAAAAACCTGCTCGGTTATAAATAAACAGATACATAACACACTTTTGAATAAACTGACAACATTTTCAACATAGTTCTCAAACTTCAACTTTATTATTACAGAGGAAAAAGAAATCATGTTCATTATTCAACATCCTCGATTAATCATAAACCAATGTTTAATCAAATAAAAATAGAGTTTACAATAATCCAACAAATCATCAAAACCAATAACAATTAATCAAAACACGCAAGCATTCATACCCCGGTGTTACGTATCAGAGCTGACACAGGCTCAATATATGCGATACGAGGTAAGATTCCTTAGCTAAGAGTGACTCTAATATTTGGTACCTGAGTGATGCCGTAAAAAATATCATTCCAACAGAAGGGTGAGATATCACAATAATATAATAATTTATATAATAATAAGTATACAACAGATATCATGCATAGTTATTCATTCCACATTTCATAATTTCACAACAGCAACGACAATTATGTCACAAATAGACAATTACACAACACATCACAATTATAACAACAATGTAATGTACTGAGACCGACATACCGACTAGAATTCATGTGGTACCATTTGTTAACATTTAGTTCACATAACTCCCGATCCCCACTATAGTACCAGAGTCTACAACAAATTCGTGGATAATTTTGGTTCACTCTACTTTCGATCCCCACCATAGGATCAGATGTAAGAACAAGATTTAGTTCTGCAATATTATCTCTGAGTTTTGATGATAACAAATGAGTATGTTTGTATGAACAATTTTGATACTCTAATGTTTGTTATTGTTGAGTACTTAACAAACAAGTTCTGCTTCTAATGAATGGAGTGGCTAAAACATTAGAAGAGAATTAGTTCCATTTTCGTGCTACACAAGTTTTGTTAAACAATAGAAAAACACTCAGAAGACTCTGAAGTGTAAACTTTGATGTTTGTCTAAAGAAACCAGTCAGAAGATCTGAAGGAAGAAGTTGCTACTTAAGTCCATATGCTGAAGACTCATGTTTTTGAAGACAATGAATTTTAAAGAAACAGTCAGAAGATCTGAAGACAAAAGTTTTAACATAATTCTATACGCTAAAGACTCAAATTTCTAAAGACGGTGTGTTCTAAAGAAATAAATTTAGAAGATCTGAAGATAACGTTTCTACTGAAGTCCAGATGCTAAAAACTTAGTTTCTAAAAAGATAACCTATTTTAAGAAGACAAAGTTAAAAGATTTGAAGACAATGTTTCTACTAAAGTCTAGATGCTGAAGACTTGTGTTTCTAATAACAAGGTTCTTAAAAAGATTCTTAAAGAACCCCGTGCTAAAGATTCTAAAGACGGAACTTCTGAAGATTCTAAAGACTTGAAGTTATAAAGATCCAAGGTTCTCTACAAAGGGCTCTCTAGACCAAGTGCTGAAGACTTTAAAGACGCAGCTCTTAAGACTCTAAAGAATTGAAGCTCTTCTGATCCAAGGTTCTTTGCAACAGGTTCTCACGACCAAGTGTTAAAGTCTCTGAAAATATGTAGTTCTGAAGACCCTGAAGACTTGAAGTTCTGAAGACCTTATGTTACGTTCCCACTTCTAAACTCATGCTCGCAGAAGTCTCTGAAGTGCAGAAGGAAAGAATATAACGGTAACATGGTACAACAGTAAACAGTACGAAAAAGATTTATTCTACTACCTTTCCACTAGCTTGAATTGTGGAAGAGATAAGTACGTAACAATACTATTTGTAATGACTCTTTTTCAAATAGCCAATGACTCTATTTTTCTTGGCTATATAAGAAAAGAATCGTATATTTAAAATGTTGTTGGTGTTCAATGTTAAAAATAAAAGCTGACATTATTGGAACATAACCAAAAATCTATCAACCACTATAACAACAACAAGAACAATTGTTATCAAAATGATTCTTCAATCATGTTGATAATGATTACAATGAAATCGTTGATTCACAATGTGCTTAATTTCATATGCTGCACAAAGCTTGCTAAGCCGTAGAAGATAATGAAGATGATCATGAAAGCTCCAGTTACAAATAACACACACGTTGTGCTTTAAAGTGATCATAGAAGAAAATAGAACAAGGGTTGTTGTCCAGAATGTTCTAAGGTGAATCAAGATGAAGAATTTATTCTCCTTGCTACACTGAGATTAATAAAGCTTTCAGAAGCTTATGAAGAAGAAGACTTCAGCGATTCAAGTGCTTTGGCCTGTTGTACGTGAAGAAGCTACTTGAAGAAAAGAAGACCACACATTAAAGCTACAATACAATGTAATATCTTTTAGTGTGTATTAGGTTCTTCTGGTGTATGTTTAAATTATGTTTACATCCAGCTTGTGTAGAAGCATATTATTGTAAACAAATGTAAAATCAAACAATTGTTTGATGATACCTTGAGAGGCTGAGTGAAGGTCCGATATCAAGAAGATAATGGTTGAGGTCATTATGAAATCCTGGTAGTGGATTCTATTGGGTCAATGATAGTCATATCTTAAAGGGGACTGAGTGAATGTCAGCCTTGTGAGATCACTGATGGGTATCATTGGAAGGAAATCCTGGTAGGAGATTCTGAGAGATCGAATTCTATTGGGTCAATGAATGTTATATACAGGTTGGATCCCTGAACGCATCATTGGTTGTTGTACCCCAAAATTTGTCCTCTCATATTCCTTAAGACATTTCAAGAAAAATCTCCAAGTTGCTCAAGTTTGCTCAAGATTGGTCAGACAAGCTATCTCCTAAGGCAGCCAACCCCAAATTAGGGTTTTGTGTTGTATCAAGATCCTTGAGTCCAAATGACCTCAAGTTCTCCCTAATGTCCTAATATGTTCTCAAGATCATCCATGTCAAATTTCAAGCCTTGCAGAGGAAGTTTGCTCAGTCAATTGCTCAAAAGGTCCAAAAGTCGACTATGCTAGGGCAAAAGTCAACCGTGACCTACAAACAGTCAAACTTCAAGATTTTTTGTCAACATTATCATTTTGAATTATATTTCATCATTTTATCAAGGGTTGATCATGATTCATCAAATATTGCTCAAAATTCATCAAGATTCAAAAGTTGCTAAATTAGGGTTTTGTAGGAAAAGTCAACTCAACTTTGACCAAGCATAACTTTCTCATACTTTATTAGAAATGACCCATACAAAGCTCATTTTGAAGAGGATGCAATTTCCTACAATCCATCTTCATACTCAAAGATCAAAAAATGTACTCACAAGAAGTTATGAATTTTGACATTATAGGTCATTTTTGAAAGTCAACAAAACACCTTTTTTACCAAAGCTTATAACTTGAGAATGGAATATAAAATTGAGATGAGATAAAACGGGTTGGTTATAGGACATCTCAAGCTTTCTAAAAAGTCCAATAACACCTCCAAAAGTTCAAAATTGAAGAAGTTATGCATTGTTGAAGTTGGACTTTTTTGCAAAATTGCCAAAAGTCAACTATCCCCAAAACTTCAAATTTTGTCAAATGGGCCCCTTCTTTTCCACTTGATTTGAGTTTGCATCATTGTCCACGTGACCTAGCTTCAGACGCGTGTCCATATATCATTTTTATTATTTAATTTGATTTTTATTTGAATTTATTCATTTTAAATCAAATTAAATCACATAAAATCAAAAAAATTGATAACCAAAGATTTTTTATTGATTATAGACTTCAATGGAAAGCTAGCACATCTCCAAACTCGTATCAAAGCAAATCATGTGCAAAAAGATTGAATGGAATCAAATTTGGAAAGGTTTAATAATGGAGATCAA